GTTTCCAATAAAACTGATTCGTATAGGTATATTTTTTAAGTTTTCTGAAGAAAAAAGTCACTAATTTAAGAAAAAATGTAAGCGCGCCCCATGGCTAACAGCGTTCCAATTAGGGACAGTTCGACTCCGACACAGTTCGAATTCCGCGCAGTTCGATTCTGCTCTTGTTCTGTTTTGACACATGTTCGATTTTAGGTCTGTTCGATTTTGGAAGCGTTCGAATTCGTCGTACCCCCTCTTTTAGACATGAAATTTTTTGACCAACTAAAAAAAGGTATTATAGAACTTGACAAGCTCAACAAGATGATACTAACTAGAGTACTTTAACTTGTCTTTGAACAAAGTTAGAAGCCAAACATCGTCTGAGCTACACTGTCACATCTTTATGGTTTGTAACTTTGTTCATAAACAAAATACAGCTGGAAGATATAAATTAAGAATCTTACGAATTGAATTAAAAACTCTGTTAGTGCTGTAATTGAAGAGTTGAATCGAGTTAAAATTTTTTATTTATTCATCAAAAATCAATCAATCAAGTACATCTTATACAATTTCTCATGTTCTTCAATTTGGAATTTCGGCTGGAAGTTGACACGGACAACTTGTTGAAATCCCTCCTCAACCGTCGGCTCCACATATTTTCCCTTGTGAATTCTCAGAACCATTGATGAGATATCAGCAGCGGTGTTATCAGTCAAAACTCGGAATCTGATATTGTGCTGTGCCTGTTCCATATCACAATTCATCACAAAACAACGACATCCGATTCCAAGTTCCTTGGCGACGTCCACATATCGTTGACGGGATTCCTTATCAGGTGATGTGTTATCAATTATCAGTGAATCTCCGTTTTTCAGATGAGAACGAGCTGTGGCGACGCATTTTTGCCAGGTTCCCAGTGTGTCCCGATTGATGATCTGGAAAAAATTACAAATTTTAAAGGGGGACTAGTTTTTCAACATTGGGTTTTCTAGGCCACCAACTTTTATGGCCTAGAAGTAACCTGGTCGCGGTTTCTAGGCCATTAAAGATAGTGACCTAGAAATCTCAACTTGCAAAAATTAGGCCACCATGTTGAGATGGCCTAGAAAACTCATATTTTATGGTCAAGTGGCCTAACTTTTGCAAATTGGAGTTTCTAGGCCACCTTAGTAAATCGGCTAGTAACCGGGTTACCGTAAGGGTAAGGGTTACGTAAGGGTTACAGTAACCGGTCACTGTAACCCCATCGTGTCATTTCTAAGCCATAATAGTTGGGGGCCTAGAAAACTCTCAACTTGCAAAAGTTAGGCCACGATGTCAAAATGACCTAGAAAACATATATTCCATGGCCAAGTGGCCTAACTTTTGCAAATTGGACTTTTCTAGGCCATCTTAAAACTATGGCCTAACTTTTGATTTTTCTAGGCCACCAATTTTTATGGCCTAGAAAGCCACCCATATGAATATTTTTTTTGGGCCATAAAACGAGGTGGCCTAGAAATTTCAACTTGGAAAAGTTAGGCCACCACGTCAAAATGGCCTCGAAATGACTGTTCGGTGAATACCAGGCTATTTTTAGGCTATAAAAGTTGATTTTAACATGGTGGCCTAACTTTTGCAAGTGGATTTTTCTAGGCCATAATGCTAATATGACCTAGGAACCCTACCAAGTTACTTTTAGGCCATAAAACTTGGTGGCCTAGAAAACTCAATTTGCAAAAGTTCGGCCAATGGCCTAGAAACCCCAATTTTCGCATTTTTTGACTAACTTTGAGCACTTTTCCTTACCTTATATCCATTCTGCTCGGCGAGCCACTTGGCAATCGTGGATTTTCCGGATCCCGGAAATCCGACCATCACAATGATCTCGGGTTTTTCAGACTTCAGTGGGGCATCTGAAAATATCGATTTTTATGATTTTCAGTCAAAAATGATGATTTTAGGGCGTTTTTAGTTGATTTTCATCTAAAAATATCGATTTTTGGGTCATTTTTAGTGGATTTTCAGCCATTTTTAGCCAAAAAATCGTAAAAAATGTTCCCGAAATTTCTCGAACCTTCTGGCTCCAACAACTGAATTCCGTCCTTGAACAGATGCTTCGGATCGAACACCGGCGGTCCCCACGGCTCTTCGGATTTCGATTTTCCGAAAAATTCCTCGGGCGTTTTGAATGGAACGCCCACGTTGGCGGCAAAGAAACGATCCGCGAATGAGTGGTCTTTTTTGGAGCGAATCTGAAACTTTTGAGCTCATTTTGAGGCTCGAAATCTGCGAATTTTGAATTTTGACATCAAAATTTGAATACAGCTTTCTGAGAGCTTCAAAATGAGCCCCAACACGCCATGGATCGGCGAGATTCGAAATTTCGTTTGCGTCGCGGTCGTGCGTCGCGTGTTTCAGGCAAATTTTCAAAGTCGGCAGATTTGCAGCGTGTTTGGGCTGATTTGAAAGCTCACAAGCTCACAAATCTCAAAATGTAGTTTTAAGGCTAATTGGGTCAACATTTACAGAATTTCAGCCAATTTTCAAAAACGAAATTGAGCAAAAATCGGCCTATTTGTGCTCAGAATCTGCGAATTTCAGTTTTTCATAGTAAAATTTGAAATCAGCACACTGAGAGCTTTAAAATGAGCCCAAACACGCCCCGATTTGGTGAGATTCAAAATTTGGGGTGCGTCGCGGTCGTGCGTCGCGTGTTTTGGGTGAAAATCAAATTTGATGGATTTGCGGCGTGTTTGGGCTCATTTCAAAGCTCACAAGCTCACAAATCTGAAATTTTCAGATTTTGTGTCAATTGGCGCATTATGAAGTGTTTTATGGTCCAAACATATTCCCCTACCGTAGTCTTATGCCTCCCAGCCGCATCTCCAACAAACACACTCTCTGCCTCTTGAATTTCCACACCGTCATTTCTCAGCTTAAGCTCCTCCCACATTCCAATGCATGGTTTTCTGGAAATTTTTAAAATGTTTCGAAAATTTTGAAAATTTTCAAATTTTCAAAAAAAAATTATTTCCGAAATTTTGCATTTTTAGATTCAAAATGAGCCGAAAATCGCGTTTTTTAGGGTAAAAATAGCTTAAAAATGCAAAATTTTCGCTTAAAAACTATGATTTTCGGCTATTTTCATTTCCCAACTTTTACCTATAACGTCCCCCGGCGACCGACACGAATGCCTGAACTGGAACACCCAATTTCGCCACAATCGCCTCGATTTTCTTCTTAAATTCGTTTCGATCGACTTTCGCCACTTGAATGCCCTTTTGATTGGTGAAAATCACAATTTTCCATCCGTCGGAACTCAATTTTTTGAGTTCCGATGGAATCGATTCGAATAGCAATTGCCAATCACGACAATCGATTGGAAACACTTTGCCCGACTTTGTTTTGATTAGGGTTCCGTCTGGAAAAAAGAAGAAATTTTTTTTTTGGAAAATGTTTTTTTTTCAAAATTGAGCAAAAATTGTCATGTTTGAGCTCATTTTGAAGCTCCAAACTTGCGAATTTTGATTTTTGACATTATTATTTGAATTCAGTACACTGAGAGCTTCAAAACGAGCCCAAACACGCCACGATTCGGTGAGATTCTAATTTTCGGGTGCGTCGCGGTCGTGCGTCGCGTGTTTTTCGGCGAAAATCAAATTTGACCAATTTGCAGCGTGTTTGAGCTCATTTTAAAGCTCACAATCTCACAGATCTGAAATTTTTGGTTTTGTGTCAATTAGGACGTTTTGAAAGGTTTTATGGTCCAAATAAATTTGGCTCTAATACTTGGAGATTCGTGTTTGAGCTCATTTTGAAGCTCCAAACTTGTGAATTTTGATTTTTGACATTATTATTTGAATTCAGTACACTGAGAGCTTCAAAACGAGCCCAAACACGCCACGATTCGGTGAGATTCTATTTTTCGGGTGCGTCGCGGTCGTGCGTCGCGTGTTTTGGGTGAGAAATCAAAATCGACCGATTTGCATCGTGTTTGGGCTCATTTTAAAGCTCACGATCTCACAAATCTGAAATTTTTGGTTTTGTGTGAATTAGGACCTTTAGAAGGGGGGGGGGGTTATGGTCCCATTTCGGAATTTTCGGAAATTCAATTCTAATCGTGTTTAGGCTCATTTTGAAGCTCAGAATTCGAGAATTTCGAATTTTGACATCGAAATTTGAGTTAAGCGCTCTGAGAGCTTCAAAACCAGCTAGTTTGCCGCGCCTCAGCTGACTGGTGCGCCTTCGGCGCGATTCAACCAAAAATTAAGTAGAAAATGGTATTTTTCGGTAAATAAGATTTTGGGAATTTCAGAAAGTTCAATTTTGATTTCTTTTTTTTTGATAAATTCTCAAAAATTTGAAATTTTGAAAATTTTTCAAAAATATTTAAAAAATATTTTTTTCAAATTTTAAAAGTTTTTTTCAAAAATTCCAAAAATTTCAAATTTTTTCGAAATTTTTTAAATTTCCCTCCAAAACCTACTATTAATTTTTTCCTGCTTATTAACATTTAGGTTCCCCTATTTCCTCCTTCGCAAACCCCAATTTTCAGCATTTTCAGAATTTTCGGTAATTTCGAAAATTGAAAAATTTTTGAAAATTTTTTTCGAAAATCTTTGGAAATTCCAGAGATTTCAAAATTTTATATTTTTACTGACAAATTCTCGAAAAATCTGAAATTTCAGAAATTTCAGAAAATTCGAAAAAAATCGTTTTTTTCAAATGGTCTCTTTTTTTTTGAAAAAAATTCAAGATTCCAGAAATTCCAAAATCTCAAAAAATTTGAAATTTCAGAAAATTTGAAAATTTTCCAAAAAATTTTTTTTTCGATATTTGAATTTTTGAATTTCCCTCCAATTTCTATAATTCCTATTTTCTCTATTTTCCCCCTTATTACACCCTTCCCCTTCTCAAGTCCCCCCCACCACCACTCCACTTCAATACAAGGGCCTCCTCCTCCTCTCCCCTCTCTTTCTCTGCGTCTCCTTCCCTCTCGCACTCTCTCCCTCCGCCACACTCTCTCGTCCTCTCTGCCTCTAATTGACCGGCACTCTCTTTCTCCTTGGTCTGTGTGTGTAGCCCCCAAAAGTGGGGGAAAACAAAGAATTATCGATTTTTTGTCTTTTTTTAAAATTAATTTTGTAGTTTGTAGTCTCATTTTTCATTGATTTTTCTCGATTTTTTCACCTGAAAGTGTTGTAAAAATTCCAATTTTTCCAATTTTTATTTCCAGAAAAATGGAGGAAACCGTGAAAGAGGAGCCAAGAGAGGAAGAAACTCCAGAAACACCTCAAAAATTCCGTCGTCAGAACTATACGCTGGAGTTTAAGACGCAAGTCGTCGAGTTCGCCGAAAAGACCAACAATTGTCAGGCTTCGACGCTTTTCGGCGTGCCGAGACAGTGTATTCAGGTAGGCGAGTCGAAAATCCGGGAATTTTGAGCTGAAATTCAAGAATTTTCAGCTAAAAATCGCGAAATTTCGAGGTAAAACTTCGAAAAATCGACCGATTTTAAGCCAAAATTTCCCGATTTTTCAGCGTTTTTGACGGATTTTGGGCCGATTTTTCGAGTTTTTCAAGCTGAAAATTCATGAAAATTGACCAATTTTAAGCTAAAATTCAGAAAAATCAGTGATTTTTGAACTGAAAATCGCGAAAAATTGACAAGCATTGCATTTTCAAGGCCTAGATTTTTGGATTTTCTAGGCCATGACCTAATTCTATGTTAGAACTCATGAAAAATTGTTCATTTTTCACGGAAAAAAAACGGTCTAAAATGGCCCAAATTCCCCAATTTTTTGCAGAATTGGCGTCGAGTCAAAGAAGAGTTCCTAAACGCGGAGGAGCCATTCGGAAAACCCAAAAAGCAAATGAAACGGCTGAAAGGGGGCGGGCGGAAGCTGAAAAATGCGGAAATGGACCAGAAAATGGAGAAATGGTTGAAGGAGAAGGAGGAGATAGGAGAGAAGATCACAGGGACGATGATTAAGGATACGCTATCAGTATATCGGGTGATAGCGAGTTTCGGGTGAGCAATGGTGAAGAAAAATGTGAAAAACTCCAAAAAAAAATTTTTTTAATTTCGGAAAAATAAAATTTTCCTGAATTTTCTGTTGAAAAAATCTTTAAATTTCTCTATTTTGAGGTTTTTTTTGGAAAATTTCAAAAAAAAATTTTTTTTTTCGAAAATTTTGAAAAATATTTGTTTCCCTGTTCTGTAATTTCCAGGAATTTCGGAGCGTTTTGAGCACATTTTCTTGATTTACCATGTTTTTAGCTTCAAAATGCGCCCAAACACGACTAGTTTCCCTTAATTTCGAATTTCGACCGGCGCGCTGTGGTCGCGTCGCGGTCGCCGGGTCAAAATGCAAAATTCGAGGGAAACTAGTCGTGTTTGGGCGCATTTTGGAAGCTCTCAGCAAGCTGGAACAGATTTTAACAGTGATTGTGAGCAATCAAAGCTGCAAAATTTGCAAAAAATTAAAATTTAAAAAATAAT